GACTATTAAACCCTTATAATATTAATGAATACAAAAAGTTCAATAATAATAATGACTTAAAAATCTATAGTGTTAATGATTATTAAAATAAATAAAACAATATTTAAAATCCTGATAATATTTATGGCTATTAAAAATCTGATAAAATATACATATTTCAAGAATTCTCTCTATTCCCATTCTTTGTTCTTGCTGTTACTGAATATTGAATGAAAACTGTCATAAAATTCACAGTTATCTTTTAAAGTCAGAGGAGTGTTCATTCTCCTACAGGTTATAACAAATTTAATATAGGAGATAATGAAATTGAGCATAGGATAGGCAGCACTAGGGGTAGTTGAACAAAACTACATAATCAAAATATTAATACAAGAATGTTCTTAAATAACCTCATCAGATCTAGAATCTCAAGGGGAACTTATAGGTGACATTCAACTCTAAACTATCAACTATATACAAATGTTTTCTCAGATCGATGTTTATAAATGGTTTAGGACTTAAAGAAGACAATACTTCATCAGATCCTATAGACTAGCATGACGGAATCACAAAGAACTGTACCAAACTACAAAAAACTACATCAGTTGAATAGTCCTGGGTATGATGATAAACTACATCCGGCAGCAAGGCCTCTGATTGGGAGATTGGAGGTTTTGATGAGCATGGAACCACTTCTTAACACTTCCGCTGCTAACTACAGAGATCTTCGTTTTTCATATCTTGCTCCAGCTGGCTAAGTATGGAAACCTACGTTTTTTGCATACCACTGGTATGAGTGTCCCGTTGCGCCATCTATCATAAAATATGGGAAATTCTAACTGTTCTGTCATGCAAATTATTAGTCATCCTCGATTTTTCTCTACGTCATGGTAGTTTCGTATCTAATTTGAAAATATTCCTGACAAAAATGCGGCTAGCATGTGAATGCTCCCAGCGCCCGTGACCTTGGGTCATACCAAGATGGCAGCGCCTATGAAACAAGCAGTGCGGCTGTCTGCGGAAGATGTTTTGGCAGAAACATTTGCTGACGATGACTCTGAATCAGATAAATTTAGCAAAAATTCTGATTCTGATGATCCCGAGTACATGCGGGAGGATGGTAATGGTCGTGAAAGTGAAACTGACGGAAATATTAGCGATGATTTCAGCAATCACGGTGATGTTGGCATGAATGTTCATCATGGCCAAGGTGATGGTCAGCCTGTAAAAAAGCTGGAAAATGCTCAGAAACAAGGTACTTCTGCAAAAATGTGAAATCTCACTCCACAAAGGACAATGCTTCAAAAGATATTATGTGTATACCCATTACTAATCTGGTAAGTCATTCCTAGGTATATCCATGAAAATGGAATGCTGTAAAACACACTGGTCCAGTTTCCTGTGTAATAAAATATGTAGGTTGAAATTTGGCATTTTCTTTAAAAATGGCTGGCTGGATGGGGGCAGCACTGGGCAAATGAGTAGAAGTGAAAGTGTTAATTGCTGTTGTTCACAGGTCTACCTAAATACAAGGTGGTAGCAGCTGTTAGGATCCTAGCTATGGGCAAATAGTTACCCCTACCAAACAAAAACAAAACATTATAAAAGTATAAAAATGCATTTTTATAGTAAAAATATCAGCAATACATTTTTATATAAAAAATTACGAACAATATGCATATACTAACAAATTGTAGTGACTTCACCCAAATCTGTTTAAAACACTACCAACATAAAAGAACTTTGATGACATTAAGCCATATAACTTCCCACAATTACTTAAACTGTATTTCAAAGCATAAAATCAATTCTACAGTTTTCAAAAACTTTTTTTTTTTATGTGCCATGTCCCTTCAGGGTGTAGGCAATTATGGCCCTTCACATCTTCCTGTCCCTTGTAGCTCTTAATAAGTTTTGTCTTTCTGTTATTTCTCCCAAACCCTATTCTGCCATCCATTTGCTCAAGCCCATCAAGTATGCTATGGGCCGCTTTCCTCTGTCCCTCTTTCCCTCAACATGTCCTGTATCAGATTTTCCAAGACCTTCTCACTCGTTACATGCCCCAGAAATTTCAATCATCTCTTCCTGATGTTAAGTATAAGTTTCCTTTTTGTTTCCATTCTCTCATTTTTGCTCCCATGTTTGATCCATGATATTCTCAGCATCTTTCTTTAGAACCACATTTCTGTTGTTTGAAGTCTCTTCTTCATCTTTGAGGAGTTTGTCCAGCATTCGCTGCCATACAATAGGACAGATACAGAGTTAACAAAATCAAATTTGTCTTCCTTTTCACAAATATTTTGACATACATTTTTTATAATTCCTGCCATTGTTTCTGTTATTTATCATCTGTTGTCATAGCTAATTTTACATTGACCAAAGGACCAAAGCGAAAAGTAATTTTAAAAATACTCCTCCAGAAAGCTTCTTCCTAATAATGGCTACTTTGTGAAACAGTCTCTTGCATGGGTGCTTTCTTGAATACCACAATCATAACCACTTCAAATCTACAGTCAATAGTTATATATCAACTACATTGTAACTGCCCACTTCTTCCTCTTATGCTCATATCCATATTTCAATTGTAAGGTGAAAGTTCCACTCAGACTGCTTTTTCCCAGCTACTTTGAAGAAAAGACTCCCACGTGGTTGCTTCCCTGAACACCACAATCTTGACTATTTCAAGTTTAGGGTCAACAGTTATCTATCCACTATATTCTTGTAATCTTCACTTCCTATTTCTTTTTCTTATATTCATAACCATATTCTAATTGCATGGGGGAATTTCCCAAATACTACTACCCTGCTTCCTTGAACCTCTTCAGATAATAGGTCAAAAATTGTCTATCCTCCTTATATTTCTATTAATGACCTCTTAAATTTATATCACACATCTTATTCATTTACCCTCTAACTTGAATGATTCTATGAAGCTCAGAAAATCAAATGTACAGAAAATCCAATGAACTTCCATATAGGTGAATCTACCCTCTTTAAAATCCAGTGTTTGTAATTATAACTGTACACAGGAGAGAAAAACAAAACCACCACATTTTCTAACTGTACCAGATAATATAAACCACATGACTTGAGGGCTTTCAGCAGCAGCAACAAGTAAACTGGACAGCAAAAAAGTGGATAATGACATAAGATCTTGATATTCCACAGTGCTTCAAACAAAAGGTTAGGAAGGAAACCCCCATCAATACTGGAAAAGATGATAACAGTGGACTTGAGAAATCTATTTTCCTGAAAAATATTTTTAAGAGTAAGATTTTATAAATTTCAACTGAGAGCAGCACTGGCTGTTCGGTCAGTGGATGCTGAATTTTTCCTTATAAGGAAATGACTAAAATTACCATTATGGTGAACTTTAGTAATTAAACAAAGAAAGTGAAACTTTGTGGAAATTCAAGAAAAGAATATGAAACTTCTGTCACTAAATATTATTCTTTAATCCTCAAATTGGCTCCTTGTTGCAATTTACTAAGTGTAGTTTAGATGTGGCACAAAGCTGAAAGTATTGAACACCCAGTAAGGATTGAACTTGCTACTCATTCATAATGAAGCTAGTGAGACAGACTTGCTAATCATTACACCACAGCAAAGTACCCAATTGAATCCTTGTATTGTTAGATTCATTCACAGATAAAATCATGAAATGCCACCATCCTTTGGCTTTAACTTCTGTGACCTTATGAATGAAAAACAACAAACTTTCATGGCAGTTGTCGATGTTAAGCAACTATTTACTCTTGCCTCAAGTTGTTAGTTCACATTTTTGTGAAGGCCTTCTTGTGGCATTCAGAATTGCAAGCTTTTGAAAATGGAACACTCTTTGGATGAAGTGAAAGGGGTTAACAGCAAATAATCCTGAAAGACAGAAACATGTCATTTTCGTCCTTTTCTCCCTCAGCTGCCAACTGTAACAATGATATATTGGTTGATGCAGTGTGCCGACAGAATTAAATTGTGCACACCCCAACAAACGCTTGCATTCACCATTTTAAAATTAATAGCATAAACACAGAATAACGGTTTCAATTAATTTGTTATTGTTTGACATGTTGTGATGTCAAGGGAGGGTGACTGATTGGTGGGAGTTGAGGTGAAAGGTAGAAATTGTTCATTACCACCACTGTCATCACCCCCTACCACAAACAACAATGATGGCATTGTTAGCAGTGCAAATACTGATAAAAGCTAACCTGTTTTATCCACTTGCTTTTCTGCAAGTTTCACCCATTGACCAATGAGTTCCTCAGTTTGGACTTGGGTCAGCAGTACAGTCAAAGCTGATGGAAGTAAAATTGGATTTCTGTTTCTCATAGATCCTGAATTTGTAAGACTTCTTGGAAAATTGAGGCTTTAAAGCATTTGCATCCACCTCTTGGATTCGGAAGCAGTTCTCATTATACATGGATAGGGATTCATTAGGTCGACAGACGATGGCAATTCCGATGTGCCCCTCTATCTCCCACTCTAACGAGTCTGTCACTGTTATTTTATATTCCTCTACGCCCGGACTCTGAAGTCGGAATTTATCACGATAAAGATCGCAGTTAACCTCCCCATTCTGTCCACTATTAGGATCAATGACCACTATATATGCAATGAAGCTGCCAGCCCCAATATCCTCAGAAATTGTGGCTGTATTTCCTGCTGATGCAGAAAAAGAAAAAAAGGAAAAGAAAAGTTCACATTTGTAATTGGTACATTATTCTATTGGTTGATCACATTTACTGAAACCATGGCAACATGACTCGGGGAAAGTGAGTGAGAAAGAGAAACAGTGTGAGAGGAAAAAAGAAAGACAGTGAAAGAGGAATGTCTTCATCCAGAGCCTCAATTTTACAACTTTTATCTCGGCTTTTGTTTGTAGTCGAACTTTGTTTGCCAGACGACAAAATTGCCACAGTTAATCGGCCTCGTACTGAAGAGGGATTAAGACATATTGAATATATTCAAATTTAAACAGTCTTAAATTTATCAATTTATTTTTATTTTTTATTTTTTTCTAGATGGTCATTCTGTCTTGCTTCTTTTTTTATTTGGTAATTTGTTTTGGTCATTACCATTTTCTGTGTGTCTCATTTTTTTTTTTTCTTCTTGCCATTTTTCTTCTTTGTTTCTCTCTTTTATTCTTTTTCTGGTCATTGCTATTCTCCATTTCTCTCTTTTTTTCTTTTAATTTTTTTATCTTGTGGTCATTTTCATTCTCTATGATTCTCTTTAATTCTTTTTTCATTCCTTTGTTTTTTTTTCTTTTACTATTGATAATTTTCATTCTCTGTTTCATTCTCTTTTTTTCTATTTTTTTCCTTTTTCATTCTCTGTTTATTAATTTTTTTCCTTTGGTTATTTTCATTCCCTGTTTCTCTATTTTTCTCTTGGTCATTTTTTATTCTCTGTTTTTTATATTTTTTTTCTTTTGGTCATTTTCATTCTTTGTTTCTCTTCTCTATTTTCCTTTTCTTTTTCCTTTTCTGTTTCTCTATTTCTTCTCTTGGTCATTTTCATTCTCTGTTTTCATATTTTTTTCTTTTGATCACGTTCATTTTCTGTTTTTCTATTTTTTTCTCTTGGTCATTTTCATTCTCTGTTTTTTTTTTCATTTTCTTCTTTTGTTTATTTTCATTCTCTGTTTCTCTATTTTTCATATTTTTGTGGTCATTTTTACTCTATTTCTCTTCAGTTCTCATTTTTTTTTTCTCTGGTCATTTTCATTCTCTGTTTCGTCTTTTTTCTTCCTTTTTCTCTTATACATTTTGTTATTCTTTTTGGTTCATTTTTGGACATCCTTTGCTTTTTTTTGGTGGATGGGGGATATTTCCAGCCATTTTTGTGGGTAGTGGCTAAATCATTGTTACTTTATTTTATCTCTCTTTTATTGATATTTCATTGATTTATCCTATTATAGTTCAATTTTGACTATTTTTCTTCATTCTTTATATTATCTATTTTTTTAAATTATTTTTCACTTTGGCTCAGTTTTTAAAGCTTCTACTTTTGGTCATCTTTTTTCTCTCTTATACAATTTCTGACATATACAACAAATACTTTACAATCCAGTAAGAAAACAGAACAGCTGCTTGGAAAGTAAAATTTCTTTTGGATAAGAACAAAACTTTTCTTTAGGTAATTATAATTATACAGAATCAATAATGGACATTGTATATATCTCAGACAAATATTAATGTTCTCACTCAAAGATATTTTCATAGCCAATATTAGACCACCGATAATTGATCATTTGAGAAGTCAGGCATTTTTTTTTTATATGGAATATTGATTTCTTGTAAAAATGGCTAAGGAAAATTAGACAAGTTATTCCTCAGCAAATTTTGGCTATTGATTAAGATAATTTTAAAGAACTTCTGTAAATTCTATCATGGTATGAAACCAGTGAACAGCATTTCTATCTGGGAAACAAATGAAAACACTTGTGAAGGAATTTAATTCTTTTTCATTAAAATAGAAATGACTTGCAATTTCTTTAAAAGTAGGAGCAAGCAAACAAATAATGGGTTTAAATCCTAACAAGTAGTTTGGTATAATATTTCACCAAAGATGTACATGAATTTGAAGAAAATAGAACTGCATATTTTGATGTAGACTTTAGAGCCAATTCCTTCATGTGAATGTATTCATCTTTGCAGCAATAAAAATCAATACGAAGAAATTGCAGTTGCAGTCAAAGTTTATTTAACCATCATTGGTGATTGAAGAGAAGCTATGTTTTCCTATTAAATTTTTTAACCACTCAGCTATCACCCAAGGAAAGGACTGTTGTTGTCAACTTTGTCTTTCCTTCAGATCTTCATCTCAGAATAAAATTGGATGGTAACAGGTGTGGCTTTGTCACATTCATATTTAATGGATACATTTTGTAAGATATTCTGATAAAAAGTCTGCTGGGTTATCATTTACATCTGTGACACTCTGCCTTGGTGGAGATCAGACTAAGTTTTCAGCAATCATTTAAATCATATAAGAGACTTTAACGCTCAGGTTTTGCCAATTCCAGATACCAACACTATAGGCAAACTCATTCGCTTCTGATAAATAAGTACAGAGAGAATAGATCAGACAAATCATCTTTACATGATGACAGTCACTTGGTTATGATGATGACATTATCAGAAAATAAAGGAATCCAAGATTTTTGTCAATGCCAAACAGTTCTTTGTGGGGTTAGAGCCGAGTTCAAACTTGCAGAAACAATTTAGCATTTTCTTTACTTCTTTATCTCCCCTTTTCTACTGAGCTTATATAAGAGCGTGAATTCAGGGCAAACTTAAAATAATATATTAGAATGCTGAGAAGGTGATATCTTTGTCCTTAGAAACCTAATACTAATACATTTTTATCAAACATTATTTTTCCTGTTTTTCTTCTTTATGTTCTGTGTCCCCTCCAGACGTAGGCGAACATGGCTCTCCACAACTTCCTGTCCCTTGCAACTCTTAATAAATTTTGTCTTTCTGTTATTTCTCCTAAGCTCTGTTCTGTCATCCATTTACTCAAGCTCATTAAGTATGTTATGTGATGTTTTCCTCTGTCTCTCTTGCCTTCAATCTGTCCTGTGAGTATCAGATTTTCTGATCTCTCCTTCCTCATTTTTGCCCCAGAAACCTCAACTGTCTCTTCCTGATGTTAAGTATGAGTTTCCATTTTGTTTCCATTTTCTCCAAAACTTGTTCAGCCCATGATATCTGGTTCTGCAGAACCATATTTTTGTTGCTTCAAGTCTCTTCTTCATCATAATTAGCAATTATTATATCAAATAGACTATCATATTTTTGTGTATATTACAACTTGAGCATAATATTACCCTGTGTTTCTGAAGCAAAAAATGAGGAATAAATTACCTCCCTGAGTATAATAAGTAGTACAGCCATTACAACGTAATTTTTTTTTAAAGTTTCACCATATCATCTATTAATGTCATACATATATTTCACTAAAGTATTTAACTTTTCACAATATTATTTGTATATTTTCTATGTAGTTATTTTTATATTTCCTGTCCCATCCATAGTGGGAAGGGAGGGAAATCATCTTAAACTAGTAAATTTACAAGTGATTACTTTCCTTAGTCATTTTGATAATCTATACAAATAAAATATTTATCTGCCTTTAGAGAAAATTACTTCCTGAGCAAAATGAACCATTTAATTAATCAGTTTCTTTACACCTATGTTTCTTAATTTTCAATATTATTTGTTCAAGCAAAGGCACTCAGATACTTTTGTGCATTAAGTGATTGTTTTGCTTCAACTTGGTCTTGAAATAGGCTTTGTCATCATTGTCTTTGTTGTTCTATTGCTAATCTTTTTCTTCTGAGAGATTTTTCTATTTCACTGTTATATTAAAAGCATAAAATTTTTAACATGAATAGATATTCAGCAAAAACCAATTTATATGATACCAGTTGTAATTGATGAATCATAGATACCACTGAACATCTAAAAAATATACAGGAAATTGATTAATTAAACAAATGGTTCATTGGCCTCTATTTTAGTTGTGAATTCTTTATCTCCGCTTTATTGAATCTTAATACATTGTTTCAAGACTTTTGTTTCATTACATCTCAGCATTAAAATTTTGTAATAATTGCCAAAATTTTTGACATGATAGGTTCACTAGTTAATTTATAATTTTAATGATAACAGTGAATTAAATTCTATTGTCTCTATCTCCATTTGAGTTTAATTTTAACTAATCCAGATGAATTATATTTCAAAGCATGAGAAACATTTTTCTTTTTTCTGTGTAATTTAATGTTATATTCAATATTTATGCAATAAAATTAAATAATTATGATTATATTTGGCCAAGCTAGCTTGGACATTCATGAATCTATCACACCAATCATCAAGATTGGAAGATCATTAGGGTGGCATCCTCTGGTATAACATAGATAGCCAACCTGTCTTATGCTGTGGCTATGTGTCCAGAGCAGTAGATCACTTGCAATTTCTTGTTTTTCTTGCATATTGTAGAAATATAAAGGTTGGGTCAGCATCCAACTAAATCATATATCTATGATCTGTGATTTAGTTGGATGCTGTCTTCAAGAGATGTTAAGTATAGCTATCAGCATCTGAGTGAAGTTTCCATCAAGCTTAGACTCTAGGATTTCAGTTAATGTCCAAGCAGTGGCACCATACATTAAAACTGACTCTACAGTGGCTCAAAAGAATCTCCATTTGTGGTTGTCTGGTAGATCAGGTTTCCAGATTACATCCATTTTATTCAAGGTGGCCCAGACTTTAGCTATGTGAATTTTCACATCCTTTTTGGTAGAATTTATTTTGCTACCTACATATGTAAAAGCTGTATTTTAACAAAGAAAAAATATACATTTTTTTCCTAATTTTCATTTTTATACCCATACATGAAATAAAAGCATTTATCATATGAGAAATTTACTAAGCTTTGTCTGGTATAAGGCTACATCTTACTGAATATCCAGTTTAGATAAATCTCAGTATTAATTAGTTCCTCAAGACAGGAATCCAAATAAGAATTGTGATATATATAAAATGGTCTTATCTTCTGTCAGTTTTTCTTGGAAGCCAACCAATATTCCTTACAAGCCATAAGAACCAATCATAATATTGATGATTCTGTGTCTTTTACTGAATATTTTGTTGTTAAACCAAAATCCTAGTGTTGGCATCACAATCCCTTGTGTCTGTTTCAAGAATTTCTGACATGAAGTAGATATTTATATGTATCTCTAAATTCTTCCTCTAGATGTACCTCTACAATTTTTTTTTTGTTTGTTTCTTTAGTAACTTTTGCCACTTTACCAATTAATTTTTGTCATTGTATTTTTTGTCATTATACCAGACAAAGCTTAGTAAATTTCTCATATGATAAATGCTTTTATTTCTTCATGTATGGATATAAAAATGAGAATTAGAAAAAAATTTTGTATTTTTTCTTTGTTAAAATACAGCTTTTACATATGCAGATAGCAAAATAAATTCTGCCAAAAAGGATGTGAAGATATTTACTCAAACCCATTTAGTAGTTTATTCAGCATCCCCACTTGCTTCTTTTGACTTCAATATGTCCTGTGAGTGTTAAATTCTCCAAGCCTCCTCCTCTGATCAGGAAATCAGTGGTTTTAAGAAGCATGGAACCACCTCTTAATTGCCAATGTTCCCAGGTCCATCCTGAACTGGGGTGATAGTACCTGTAAGGGTCCTAGCTTTGGGCAAATAGTGAACCCCAAACAAATAAAAAGAACACTGCAAAAGTATAAAAATACATTTTTATAATAGAATTACCAACAATACATTTCATCTGTAGTTGAATGCATGCAATTGTGTTCAAAATATATTTAGTTGAAGCCATAAAATAAACTAGCCAACCAGAGCCTCCTATCCTAATTTTGTATCCCAGAAATATCAACTATCTCTTTCTAACTGTGAGCAGCAGTTTGCTTGTAATTCCTAGGCATCCTTGTTCACATGCTGTGTCTATAGTACTCTCAGCATTCTTTTCTAGAACTACATCTCTGCTGCTTCATCTTTGAAGAGATTGTCCTATATTCACTTGCATGTAGGAGATTCAATATTATATAGTAGTTCAGTATTCTTTTCTTTACTTCTGTTATAGCATACCTATGGACGATAATGGGTATGTCCCCATTCATATAAATACAGTAGTAAATACTGTATGTTGGTTTGCAATTGGAGATTTTTTGCCAGCTGTGCTAGTCAAACTCTCTGCCTGCAGGCAGAGGGGATCCCCAAATAAGGCTATGCTGAAGGGCAGAGTCTCATCTAGGGAAACAGCTAACCCAACTCCATTTTATACGGAGTCTGTGAGGAAT